GGGTTGAAAATTCTTGGTTAATGTAGTTCATCTTGTTTCAATGAATGTAGGTCACATTTCACACGGATTCGCTGGAAAATTAAGATCTAAATTCAATGTATTTGTTCGAAAAAGGTACATGATGACATTAATGATTTTTATCCATTTTTCGAAAATTCAATTCAAGATATTTATTCGATCCAAACATTAAATTTATGTATTATCCCCGGGCCTTATTCGGCCACCTTGAATGTTTGCAAGGTATAAATTAGGGGAGGATGGGGCAAAACGGCCCCCTTTCAATCGTCAATATTTTCCGATTCAATAATCCGATTGGGATGAGTTAGAGCTCGTTTTGAAGAATGAAAAATTATCTTCAAAATGAAATTGAAACTGGGAATTTTCACAATGTCATTCACAAGTTATTGACAATTGAAGGGGGGCCGTTTTGCCCCACCCTCCCCTATAATGAAACAGGGATACAAATAAAAATGTGGAATTATTGTGAATATGCTGTACATTCACTTTCATGACCTCCGTATGAGGCTTCCAAATTATTCTCTCACAATTTCTACTAGGGTGCTAAGGATTTCAGTCTAATTTTTTTTTCTGAAAATATGTCTATTAAAACATTACATCTTTACACTCATTTCAATATAAATATTGGACTAATGATGTGTTCACCTTCGCTAGACGAGCGTAGAGTCATTTACTTCAGACAAAAATTTTGAAAAAATGAAAATTTTGAGTTTTTTTCAATTATTTTTGTTTGTTCCGAATTGGCCCCACTATCTGAGCGGCTTTTCAAACTATCCAATCGCCCTATGGCATACTCAAAGAACATGAAAAACCCTTCAAAATGAAATGTCATGCATAGCATTAACTTCAATTTGATGGGATTTATACTAAAAACGGTTTTTTTTTCAATCGTTAATTACTCAAAAACTTAATTTTTTAAAAATCCGAAATTTTCACACAAAATTGTCAATAAAATGACAAGAATTTTGGTGCTACTTAGAGCTTGTTTCCTACCGTAGTTCGGTAGTTATTAATTTTTTCAATGTGACAAGTATTGACAATGATGGGAAATTGCTACTATTTATGCAATTATCATCCTCCAAATAAATGAATATTCAATTAAATATTAGCAAATGGTGGAAGTTAGACTCATTATATCTTCCATTATTCATCTTCAGTATGATTTTTTCAGTGAAAAATTATTTTTTCTTCAATTTTACAATATAAATAGGTGCATAATAAAAGATGCAATGAGTTAGCTCCCAAGATTTTGCAGAATAATCAACTTTTTTTACGAGAAAATATCGTGTGATGAATTTCTCTTACAATGATTGAATTGTTGAATTTAAGGTATTCTCAATATTATAATTGAACAAGAGGATTTTATCTATTGAAAAAATCTTCAAAAATTTGATAAATAAATAAATTTAATAATTTTGTGAATCTTTTGAAGTACATTTTTTGTCCTACTTTCTATCATTCCTACGTCAGCAACGATATCTTTTTACGATAACCTCTCCATTAAGATCGAAAAAGGGGTGTAAGTCAATACCGCAAAACTCCAAAAGCCACTCAATGTTTCATAGCCCTTCTGTCGGGGTGGGTCTTCCCACTGACACTTTATTTGTTCTCTTCCAACCACTCATTTACTAACCGGGGAATTTACTCATCACTGAATGATCTTTACGGGTTGTTTTTATTCTCAGAATCTCATCCTCAATACTCCCTTCCTCGAGGCGAAGGCTCGATTTATTCAACGATAATGACACGATTTTTCTACTCATCTCTCATAATCAGTCTCATCCACGCTTCCATTCACTTGAGATATCGATAGTTAAATAATATTATCATTCGGCACTTTACGAAGCACTGAAGAATCCAAGTATTTCCATTTAAATTTGAAGCACTCGTGCAGATAGTGTCCGACGCAGTGTCAGGGTTAGCCAGAATACTCCACCCGCATGTGCACACAAGTGGAGGTTTATGTAAATCTACTCCTATTTCGTTGAGAAAGGATTTTCCAAAAAATTTTCAATAAGAATTGTGGACTTTCTTGTGTTTTTTCAATTCTTCGTTATAAAAACAAAGGATAAATTATATGCTATATGTGTCTAGTTCGTCAGTAAATATTTCATTCCGAAAATTATGAACTTGAGAGTGAATTCCGAGAGCATTTGCACTAGTTTTTCCTCAACAGTTCATTATTTTTTTTTGTGCGATGGAAATTTCCCTAATTCAGAGAGGGATAACCTCGGAGGTTATAGTTAGAAGGGTTACAAAAACATCAAAATTTCATAATTTTTTTTCTTGAAACTGAGATCTGAAGGAAATGTGCAAGATTTCTCAATGATGCAGCATACTTCGACATTTCTCCCATGAATTTCATTTCATTTCATTTCATTTCATTGCATTTCATTTCATGACCCAACAGCACAAGGCCAATTACAGGATCAATCTACAGTCTACATACAATATAAAAATGAAATCATCAATCGATAAAATTTCACAAAGTTGTCATGAATTTTCCAATTTTTTTTCATTATTTTGACTTTTCAACCGAAACACCTTAAAAAATGGAAAAATATATTTTTCTGTAGAATTTTACGGCATACAAAAAGTTTGCATGAAATTTTCCTCTAAACCTACCAGTAGATATTTGCAGAATCATTCCAGAATAGACTTCATGATTTCATCCTGTTCTCCTCCGTCATTTTTATTCAAGTGCCGTTGGGAGGAAAATATTCAACAGTAAAAAAATCTGAATGAAAACTGTGAACTGTCGCTGTGTATTTCTGCACGCTCCAGGAAGTGTAATCCACGTGTCAAGGACATTCATGAGCTGCCTAGGCCACGTGAGAGTTATTCGGTGATTTTTTATGGTCCATTGTTGCTCTTCGAAGCGCGATTTTATACCTGTCGCTGACAATTTTATGGATAAGCAATGGATGAGAATCTCGCAGCCAAACGTATCAGAAGTGGGTAGAGCGGATTTATGTCAATGGCTCGGACATATTTTTCATTGCCAGATTAGAGAGAATAGAGATATATTTACTCGGGCTATTTTTGTACAAGTGTTCTGCAATCTTCTATCGCCTATTCACTGTTTCAATTGAAATGTTGAGGAGTCTTGAATAGATTTGAAGTAGCTCTCTTTAGGAGACCATTTTTCAATTACAAGATTTTTAAAAACCAAATAATCACCCGTACTCTGTGAAATTCGGAAGCGTAATTTTTTCGCCATGTAATTACCGTTTCAGTTTTTGTCGATAAAATTTTTTAAAAACCATTATTTAATTCAGGAGATTGAGTTAAGAATATGTGGAGATTATGTTGCATATCTTTGTTGAAATAAAAATAAAAGTTTTAATTTTTTACTGGACGTGTGAAAAAATAATAAAAAATATTGACATTTGTTTAGTGATGATTTATCGTTTCGTTCTTTTCATTATTCCCAATATCCCTCCACTGACTGAAAATTGGTAATTTTTGTTTTTTTTTTTCTATCCTTCAGATCAGGAACTCTGAAGGTGTTGAATTAAAAGTGAGTTTCTTGGATCGTAACAGTCACAGGGGTTTTATAAACAACAAGTGTCGTCGAACCGCAATTTGATCAGATTTGTTAATCATCTCTAAATGACTTTGAAAAACCAATATTTCCTATTAATTTTCACTAAATTTCGGGATAGAAATGAGGAAACCATGACTCATGATACACTTCCATCGAACGGTAGGATAATTTTTATCAAAAATTTCTCTCCGTGTAGGAGTGTGTTTTGCCCTGCGGTCCGTTTTGCCCGCCTGGTCCGTTTGCCCTACCTCCCCCCCATTCAACTTTTCCCTCCGTGTGTGTATCAACAATCAACAAAACTACTGAAATTGACATACTGCGGTTCACCACTTCGCTGTTGAATCATGTCCGCATCAATTCACTTCATTCACAATCTCAATTGCATCGTTATTTTCCCCTCCGATAATTAATATCAGAGTCTCCCGTCCAATTTGCCGCCACAAATTTATCACTTTTCGGTGGGGCTGCTTGGCTCAATAAAACAAAATGTCGCATCCCCATTCCCCAGAAATAAAAACTAAGCGTTCTTGCACGCCCGACTGATTCATTGAAAATAATCATTTTATTTGGCGTGGAGGGACATTAAGAGTGTTATTGGATATTTTTTTATACCGGATTGAGGCGGAATATGTCCTGACTATAAATACCATCGGTGTGCCTATAAAAACACTATCGATTCGGTGAATGAATCGCTCAGCCTCGGTTTTTTTATTTAATGATTTGTGTATATTTTTTTGTGTTCATTACAGGTAGAAGATAAGAGGAAATAACCCACTGTGGAGGGTGACGGGAGACGCACCAGACATCGCCATGCTTCAAGCACACCAATTAAAGTCCAGGTGACCGGCAATGGTAAATATCAGTAGAAAAGACTGATACAATTTCAATAATTAAACAGAGAAAAAAATGAGAATTCCGAATCTAATCGGGTTTTCTGCAATTTTTTTGCAGTTTTCAATAATCTTTGAATTTACCATAAGGGTAGAGCTACTTTGATAGTTTACAGCCTCAAATTCGAAATATTTTAAAGTAAAAACCCCCCGAGATGGCTTGAGAAGTATTTTTTTTATTACGAAATTGCTCTCATCTTTCGGATAAGTATAAAATCTGTTGTGAATTGGTAAGATTCAACTAGGATAAGTGCATTTTTTTCGATAAATGAGTTTTTTATTAAATCGCTTCTACAAATTGTTGGGAAGCGATTTGACCAGAAAAATGTATTGTTGAAAAAAAAAAATGCCCAAGAATATTTTTTCAGTGGAAGAAGGTGGATAGAGAGGGATTAATTGTAAAGCAATTAGTACGAAGTAGATAGGAGTGTTCCCGACTTTAATCCGGTTTTGTTTCAACAGGAGACGTGACAAAGATCGAGCTGGAGCTGGAAGAGGCTCCAGACGGTAAGGAGGAGAGACTGCCAGCTATTCTCGTTGGCTCGATGTCGTCGGAATTGGATTCTGCAGCTGAGATAAATTCCACTTATCCAGGTACAGAAGCCACGTCAACACTTGCTTTTCAATTTAGACAATCACCGACAAGTGTCTCACGTCTGGGTTTGATTTCGATTTAACTTTCGACTCCGCTTCGCTCCGCGTCCGTGAATCTCTACCTACGGCCGTCATGACAAAAAATATTGTTCGTCACACGGCCAAAAAAAACTTTTCTGACGAATATGGTTGTAGCCCTCGCCTTCGGCTCGGGCGGCAAACTCATATTCGCTAGAAAAGTCACGCAGTGGGAGAATAGTAGGGGAGGTTGGGGTAAAACGGACACTTTTGACTTTTTTTAAAATGTTAATGGGAGTTGAAATGTTGATAAAATTTAATAATTTTTCTTTTCACTACCAAGAACAATTCTTTCCCTTTGTGACGAGCCTAAACTAAGCTCAATTGATTAATTTGTTTCTGAGTTATGAATAATTTTAAAAAAGTCCAGTGTCCATTTTACCCCACCCTCCCCTATGTTTCATCATTAGGCCGAAAAAAACTTTTTTGGCGAATATGAGGTTTGCAGCACGAGCCGAAGGCGAGGGCTGCAATCATATTTGTCAGAAAAGTTTTTTTTGGCTGTATGACGAACAATATTTTTTGTCATGACGGCTGTAGGCTCCGCTTCGCTCCGCGTCCGTGAATCTCTGCCTTATGGCCGGAATGACAAAAAAGTTTTTTTAGGCCGTATGTTGAATGATATTTTTTGTCACAACGGCTGTAAGCAGCGATTTACGAACGCATAGCGTCTGCGAAACGCTACCTTACGGCCAGAATGACGAAAATTGGATTTTAGGCTTAAAAACGACTGAACAAATTGATTCAACTAGACTTAAGTCTAGTTACTAAAGTCTAGTTACTAAATAAGTATTTTTCATTCTTAAACTATGATAAACTTGAAATATTCCCAAGTCTAGCAGAGGATGGACATGAAAATTGGCGCACAGTTGTGCGCACAAGCTTACATTTTCACGCTTGAAAAACACTTGCGCCTGATTTCATAAACAACGTGAATTTTTCATCGTGAAAATGTTTAAAGATCATTTTCTCAAAAGTTTTGTCAAATTTTAGAATAATTAACTTGAATAATTAACTTTAACTTTAAAATAATTAATTGAATAATTAACTTGAATTGTTGAATTGTAGATAAAAATGATGAGAGATGAAAATCATTGGCTAAAGAGAAGTACACAGCTTTGAAAGTATTGAGTCGTAATTTTCATTGAAAGTGAAGGCAGGCATTTTTTCATATTTTTATGCTTCTGACAGTGCCCTTCAGCATCACGTGTCTTTTATGATTGACCCGAGAATCCACATTAAAGGGAGATGCTATACCCCGAGAGCTCTCGTAATTTTTAATTCTGGAGTTATTAACTGGACAAAATGGCTCGTTCGTACTTTATACACACGAGTAATGCCTGGGAAAGGTCACGCAGATGTTCATCTCCTATGTCTGAAAAAATTCAATTAAAAAGATTACATTGAAGGGATGAAGAATAGAAAGTAGACAATAAACGTTGATCCAAGCTTTATTATCGCATTAGCTAATCTAAAGGGAATGAAAACTTCTCGGTAGTCAACGAAATTATAAGGGAAGGCTATTATGCAGGTGTAAATTGTCGGGAATATAAATTATCGAGACTCATCGGGAGGATTTTTAAAATGTTTTTTTTTCATTTATTGATATTGAGTGAAAATGATTGAAATTTTTTCTGTTGAAGAATTGTGAAGAAAATTTAGATAATATTTGGATCGTCGAGCCGGGATGCATTGCATAATTAACTCCAATCAATACCGAACTTTATGACAAAAATACATTTTTTGACAACTATTGAGAACTATAGAGATACTCCGGCAGTTTTTCAGCGTTTGAAACAAGGAATTTTCCTCACTCTTCGAGGGATGCTATGAAAAATATTGAAAGATTTCTGAAAATTCAAAAAATTCATGAATTCTCAGGTTTTTCATTTATTACACAGAGAAAAAAAATACTTTTGCCAAGGGATTATTTTCTTTACAGAAGGATTATTCTTTTTAGGAGCGGATTTCTCCGGGCCAGTCATTCTCAGGTGGTCCAAGTCCAAATCTCTAAATATGATAATTATGTTGAATTGCGGGATAATTACACTACATTTGATCTTGAATGAACTCCACTAACAATTGTTAAGATTTAGAATGATTCCAAATATTATACGTAAGAAAATGTCAAATTTTGAAGAATTGAGAAATCAGTAGCGAAGTGGTAAAACGGTTCAAATCGAATTATCTCCCAGTTGAGTTTTTGAGGAATATTTCCGAATCTAAAGGAGATAGCGAAATTTTCGTAATCACATTTGTTGTAGCACTCAATCGGCTCTAAAAAAAGTTATAACAACAATTTTGCTCTCTCCCTTAGATTCCGAGATATTAATTGAAAACTGGTCGATAGTCAAAATTGATATGTACCGTCTTACCACTTCGCTACTGAATTGTGATTATAAACATTCTATATGAATTCCAGATGACTGTCATTATCTATCTTTTTCGCACGAAACACCTTGATTGAATAATTGCGACGGCATTTTCTAGCAACAAAGACATTAATAACCAAACTGTCCCCCAAATTATCCACAAAATTGTTTCTCAAGAAAATACGAGGACCTTCACAAAAGTGTCTTTATCTACTTCCAATTCCAAGTTATTTCTGAAAAAGTGGTCATGAAGTAAAACCCTCTCATTTAGTTTTACAACTTCGCTACTCTTCAAACTCCGGAAAAGACGTCCATTCCCTCTCCATTCTTTCGATTCCTTCCATGCGAGGAATGAAAGAGGCTCGAAGAAACTTCATTCTTCCAACACAAAACCCTCTACAAAGGGGTAATATCTGTTGTAGCAATTGTCGTGTCGTGACGGGACTACAATAGTGCTCATTCTTTCGTTAACTAACGTTTCACCTTACTTTTGCTGCAGGCTTCCCGAAACCAGGGAGTGTGGTGGTGCGAGCGGAGGAAGCCCTGCTGGTGATTCTGGTGCTCCTCCTGTGGGTAGGAGCCATCGCCCTCTTCTTCAATCGTTGGGGCAAAATCCGCATGCTCGAGCCTTATCAACCGAAATTTCAACAGCAACACCGTCCAAGCTGCGCTATCGTTGATCCATCTCCCCTGCCAGTGAGTAATTCACCATAATATGAATGTATACACTCGGATTACTCCCGTTCACGTGGAATAACCGTGGAATTACGCCTCTGACAGTCTTTGCGTAATGATCACTCCTTCAACCATCGATTTTACGTCATCAAGGCGGTCAGTGTGTCCATTATTAACGCATCGAGGGTATCTCGTCTTCCGTAACATGATGATTACGTGAAAAACGTGATTGTGACGCTGGGAAAATTTTTATACACAGTTAGAAATTTTTTGAAATTTCATGGAAAATATGATAGTAATTCTCATACGAGTGACATTAAATCGGATTTAGAAAGAAATTCATGAGTTTTCAGTGGGAGTGAGATGTAAATTTCACAACTTCATTGAATTTTAAATGGAACATGAATATTCAGAAACAATGTGACATGAATTTTCAATTTTTCCCTGAATTTTCCGGATTTTTCACGAAATAATTCAACTGAAAAATGAAGTATTTTATTGATTTTCAGATCATTGAAACCGAAAATTAATGAAATATTTGATTTTTCAATGACAATATTTCCTGAAATTTCAGTCAATGACAATATTTCCTGAAATTTCAGTAAATACACCAATCATTTCATTTCACTATTTCCATCAACCACAGATTTTCAAATTTCACCTTACTTCCCCGTAAATCGATAAATATAGATCTATCCAAATTAAATTTCATCGGAAACATTTTCTCAAATTTATAGTTTTTCCTGTTGAATTTGCACTTGAAATTCGCTATTTTCGAACAGAAATTCTTGCATATGTCAGAGCAATCGGGTAATCGTATTTTCACATTCGAAGAATTCGTGAGCTCATGTATGCAAACAGGAAGTAGGGTAAGTTGGAAACAGTTTGTGCCAATGTTAATCCGATTCCAATGCAAATCCGCGTAGTTTCTCCCCTCGAGTGATTACAACCACGCAAAGTAGTTCTGTGTCGAGCCAAGGAACATCCAAAAGTACAACGCAATACCGAAATATCGAGTTACATATGTAGAATTCTCCCCTTCGGTGTCCAATGGACAATTTCATATTCCCTGTGTTATATAAAAAGGAATTGCTTATTTCAGGGATTCTCTATTCCCTTTGTGATACAAATATGTCATTTTAAATTATAGAGAAAATATGGAATGGATGAACAAAACTCTTCTTGTTGCCAATTTTAGATAATTCAAACAAATTGTTGTTATTTTCCTCTTTGAACTCGGCATTGCATTTCTCGTATTACACGGAAATCGGTAATTCTATAGGACAATGGCCGACAATGGTCTGTACAGTTGAAATATATCATTTTATCATTCAATTAATTCACTGACAAACGAATACGGATTCAACAAAACAACTTCTTTTCAGTAGGGCCAATATTCGATGTTTCTGTTCTTTCATGTTTAGTTTTGTGGAACAAAAATGCAAATGAGTAAAACAGGGAATTTATAAATAAATTATGCAGTACAGATTTTTCAATGACAAAATTTCCTAAAATTTCAGTGGAACTTGAACACGATAATAATTTCCGGAATTGGGCACGGAACATTCTGACGAAAATTTTTAACAGTGTGTTCTATCCAGGAATAGCCATATTCATAATTCATAATCACCGTTAAATTTTGAAGCCGTCAATTAGTTAACATCACTCTTAACGTTTTAATTATTTAAGTAACCATCAATTTAAACATTCAAATTTCAACTATTCCATTAATCAATAATTTGGGTAGGACCACTGCCGATTATTTGGTTAATCGATAATCCCTTTTAAGAAATTAGAAATATTCACTTAATGAAAAATGTTCAGTTCTATATCATAAAACAGTTAATTCATCATCAATGGGAACTTTAAACTATTAATATTATATTATTTTAAAATTGTGATGAGTATTTAAACATTTATCAATGTAAGTCGCAGATCCGTTTAATACTGAAGAAATATAATATTGATGGCTGTGCCTGGTGCTATCCAATTTTTTTAATGAAGGATTTCAATCATTTCACGATTTTTCCCCTCTGATAAATTTGTCAGTAGAACCTCATGACATTTCCGATTGCAGGAGCTGCATAAAAGTCCGTGTCTTTCCGCTCACGATAAGAGAAAGCTCTCTCCACCTCCGAGTTGCCGACACCTCGTATTTTCCTGTCTTTTATACTTTTCCGACCTCTGTATCTGCCATATTCATTCCTCCTCTGCATACAGGGCTTCAATGCGCCTCCCCCCTTTCCCCACACCTGATAACCACAAGAAACACAAGAGAATGCCTCAGAGTACGCGATAATTTCCCTTGGAATTATCGGCCACCACTGAATAAACCAACAGCGAGAAAGAGCACGTTTTAAATAAAAGTTTTGATACAATGGCAGCAGCGTCTGGTGGATTAACTCCAGGGGCGAGGGAGTGGTATGTGGTTTGAGTGGGTATACTCCCTTATATAGAAAACCAAGTTGTACCAGCGGGAGTGTTACAAAATCACTGCAGTGTTCACCAGGTGTTGGTAGACTACCATAATTTATTGGAGTTTCTACAGTTGCTCCAAACGTTGCGGTGACGATGCATCCTCAATCGTCATAATTGAAGACACCCAATTTAATCCTGGATTTACGGGTTGAAGGGCAAATATTGATAAATGTAATCAAAGGAGGTTTCGAAGAGGGGATCGTGAAACTTGCTATTGAGTTAAATTACATATGAGATATTCTGCGGCAAATCGATCGACCCCTGATCTTTACCCTCTCGAGAATTAACAGGGCTTTTGAATTAACAGAATTAACAGGATTTGTTTACAGGACTGCACTGCAAAAAATAGGTGTCTGAATTCACACACATTTCTAAGCCGAATGCGAGGGATGCAATCATATGAGCTAAAACAGTTGTTTTCGATCGAGTGACAAATGATATTTCACGTGAATGCCTGCTTTTGGCCGGTAGGACATGAATGTATTAATCCAGTGAATATTTCTTTTCGTGTCTGAATCGTCAATCGCCAAATGACATATTGAGCTGTTAATTCAGGAGTCATGGAGATCCCTAAATGGAAAATTTACCCATATGTACATAGAAATTAAATTCTCTTCCGCGGTTCAAAATGTTCGTCTGAATCCAGCTGAGTAGAAAGTACACTGCGTCACTTCGTGGTTAACCCAGGCGGAACGTTGCACAATCCATCCACATGTATCCTCATCCATCTTCACTAACCATCCCATACATTCCCCTGAAATTTAAACCATCAGATCCCAAGAACTTCCGCCAGTTTGGGTAGAGAAATCGCTTTGAATGCACAGTCACACGCGCAATGAATCCTCATCTCCACTGGAAATTTTGAGGTGAATATCTCCATACATTGGTTGCTACTCCTTCTTGCTTCTTTGTCCCTTCACGCAACCTTTTAGAAATGCGGGAATATTCACTTTCGGCTCTCTGCATCGCTGTGCTGCTCCGTAAGGGAGTCTCAACACAAAAATTGGTGTTTCATAAGAAGAAATTATCTCGATTGAAATTTGCCGAGTCTGCTTAGACACTTCAACGCGGTATTAAATAATTGAAATACACTGTTAGAACTTTTTTGAAATTTCATGGAAGATATTGCAGTCAATCTCATGAGAGTGACATTGAATGGGATTTAGGGAAAAAATGGTCATGAAATTTCAAGTTTTAAGTAGAATTCACGGAAATTCATGAGTTTTCGAAGAAATGGTCATGAAATTTCACAACTTGATTGAATTTTCAGTTATAATACCCCGAGACCTTCAAAATTATCGGAATATTTCCCGATAGCTTCATTGCAAACAAATGGCCAAGCGGAGCGCCGTATTCCAGGGCTTCTTCCGGCAAAACATCCAATTGGTTAGAAATAAATGAAGAGCTACTATGCAATTATCAGATGCAATTTCCAGAAGCTAGTGTGCAATTTCCAAAAAAAATTGATAACAAAAGAGTATTGTGACCTCGAATACTGCGCTGTGATTGACTAAAATCCAGTCCTGGAAAATTCTCAGTGGAACATGAATTTTTCCTTGAATTTTCTGAATTTTCCCAGACTAATTGAACTGAAAAATCAAGTATTTTCTTGATTTCCAGATCATTAGAACAGAAAATCAATGGAATATTTGATTTTTCAATAACAAGATTTCCTGAAATTTCACTGGAACTTGAACACGATGAAAATTTCCGGAGTTTGGCACGGAAAATTCAGACAAAAATTTTCAACAGCGTAGTCACTAAATTGAATAGAAATTGCGATTCTGAATCTAATCGAGCTTTCTAGCAATTCCGGGCAGTTTTTAGTTATCGTCACAATCGAGTTATGTTTACTACATTGATAGAAGGATTAAATTGTAGTTAATGAAAAATTGGCTAAAAAATTGTGGCAAATTTTACAGTACACGGAGAGAAATTTTCTAGAAAAATTCCAGTGCTGGCACTAGAATTCCCCGAGACGTCCTCGTTTGTCCAATAATTGCACCATTCACACAAAAAACGGTAACGGTGAATCATTAGTATGTTTTACGCCTTCTTGAGGGTATGTCACCCTTGTCCATTAAGGGGATGAAACATGATAAATCATTCACAAATAGTGGTTTTATGTCCCCTTTTGGGGATAATTCACACCGAAAAATGGTGAATCACCCTAATCCTTACATTCGAATTATTTCATCCCCATGGCGGAGAAGATTGAAATGTCTTTAAAAAAATCAAATACGCTGTGCAGCGTTTGAACGGTTCTGACCGTTTTTGGTGCTGATGTAGATACTGAATGTCATTATATTTCATTATACCAATGAAGGCTCTTGTTTGTTAAAATTCGGATGAAGTAAATGACCCCCGAAATTACCCTGTCTGTGAAAATCGCAGTAGGCAGCCCTGCCCCAACTGTGAGGGTTAAGGTCATCAGATATTGAACAAAAATTCACGAGAACGCATACAAATCACAATTTATCTTAATCCCGACTTACGATTCTCTCCAACATCTCCAAAAAATGGAGATAAAAAATGAAGAAACTTCTGTTGGCAAAGGAAAGAATAATTCTTATCAACCTCACGTGCTCCGCATACTCCAGAAAGACATGACATCTACTTTTTCAGAATTTATCTTCACATACTGCGGGTATTCATGCAGATGTCGCCTGATCCAATCGTTTCGTATTCCAATTGCCAAAATTATGCACAGGTCTGGCGGTCTTGATCCAGAGCTTCTTCTCTCTTTGCAATCATGAAAAAGCTGGTGCTACCAGATATATCCTTTGATCCGTTGGCCGGAGCCACCAAGATTACCATAATAGCGGCAGACTATTTAGAAAGATCAAGGCTATCAGGATCAAACGTTGTATGTATACATCAGTGGCAGGTTAAAATTTATGTGGTGTTTGTCAGTTAATTCTTGGCACTAGATTGATTGACAACCTAGGGGAAATAATTAACTGACAATTTTCAGAATGTTTCCCATTATCTCCGACGAAAATTGTTTGAAACTGTAAGTAAAATTTGCACCAGGCAAACTTATGTTGCCAGAGCGAAGAATAATTTAGTTGCGAAGTGATGGAACTTAAGGGATCGTTGATTTTTTACGCTTTACTCCGTTCCTTTTAAACGCATCATCTTAATCAAGTCGTTGGTATTCCGGAACTTTCAAGGGTGATTATACAAAGCTAATGGAGTGGAAATCCTTGGGATAGTCGACGAGAATCTCTTCACACCGAAGAATAATTTGAGCAGACAAACAGAATTGGAAGCTGTAGCGTCAATTAAATATCGGTATCATAATTTTCCATTCATTAAAAAAAATTTGAATCCGAGTAGTCTAATGATGCCGTCGAGACTAGTCGAGAATTATTTTGAAGAGATCATCACGGTCTGGAAAAACATCGAAAGTTTTGGAATCGTCGCAATCTCGAAAGACATTGGATCGGTGCATCTCGTCACAATTCCGGGAGGATTTATCTTGCCTAGATCTCGAGATTTTCGGTTTTTTAACTTCACGAGACGAGGCGAGACAAATATCGAGATAAACATTTGAAAAACAGAAAATATTGAAACTCAGACGTGATGTATTCTTCCAAGTTCGTGACGAGATGCACCGATTTAATGTCTTTCGAGATTACGACGATTCCTAAACTTTCGATGTATTTTTAGACCGTGATGATCTTTCCAAAATAATTCTCGTCTAGTCTCGACGGCATCACTAGAGTAGTCTGGAGTGCACCCTGCGCTTGGTAATAGAAGAGTCTTGCGTGAAGAGTTAACCAACCTTCTAGGGTGAAAAGCGTAGTAGTACGCTCGAGTGAGGATAGAGTGGGGATATTGAAAGTTACTGTAGAGAGTTAACCCTTAAGGATGTTTAGCCAGTGACGGTGAATTGTCGGAGAATTCTCTAGAATTTCAATAGAATCCCCACACAATTTCTAGAGAATTTGAATAGAATTTCGAGCGAATTCGCTAAGGCTTTCTATGAAATTTTTTCATACGGGTAGTAATACTTAAAAACCTTCGGTAACGTTCACTACGTGCGGATTCCGACCTGGCAATCCTTACCATTTTATTTTCTTCGTGCAATGTCAGGTTTTTCTATAATGCAACATTAAATTCTATAATCAATAGTTCATACCGAGTTAATCCACAATAATCGGAGACATTAAACTCGACTCATTACATCACGCCATCCGAACATTCCCAAAAAGATCATACCCGTAAAGAACGTCATAACCGCAGAAGCCCTGTACATGAATCTATCTGTTCCAGATGCGTTCGTGTTCGAAATTCAACATCCACACTCTGGACCACTCGCAATGTCAATCAATCATGGCCAGACCGCGGCAGAACAGTGTTTTCGTGGGTTCCAGCATGTCATATCTTCCCGGTAATGTGCCAAGACGGACGAAAAGTGCATTCGACCTTCAATCGTTGATGCTGGACGAGGGAATTGAGAGATGTCAGCAGACATCAGAGATACCCGTGGAGGAGGAGGAGAAGGAGGACGAGGCGCCTGCCACACTCAAGCCATTCAATGAGTATTCAAAGCCATCAAGATCATTCCAGCGGGAGAGGGGCATGAGTATTTGTCAATTCGATAGGACTGATGTACTAGCTAGACCAATGCAGCGTGAAAGAGGAATGAGCATCTGTCATTTTGATAGAATGGACGTGCTTGCTCATCCCATAACACCGAGGGACAGGAGAATGAGCATTTGTCACTTTGACAGGATGGATGTACTTGCTAGACCGTCAGCGGTGGTCAAGGGAAGTCGATCCAGTGTTTTTAGTAATGCTGAGAAACTCGAGTGTCTTGGTAGATCGCAGTATCAACGAGGTAGTCGATGTAGTATCGGAAATTTCGAGGCATCAGCCAAGTTTTTGCAGCAGAGGATCAAGGACAGGACTGAATCGCTGGGGAGAAACATGGCGCAGAGGGTCCATGGGGGCAGCGGGGGCATCTTTGATAGACCCTCTTGCAGCAAAACACCTGATGTCGTGCTGGGGTACAAGGCCACGTGTGTGTGAATGGTTTTTCGAGAGGTGAAGGGATCAAATGGGTCGAGATTGATGGGAGTTTTTGCTGTCGCGAGATTATCGCGAGAATGAATGATTTTCTCGGGAGTGGTTTGAGGAGATGTGGTGGAGCTTTCTTGGAGATGAAGAATGCCAAAACGAAGAAGCCTCTGGATATTTCTTTTCGAAAAATTTGAACCACACTGATAGACTGATTCATTTATTCCAAAATAACAGGAGAAAAAATAACAGGAGATATATTTTCCGAAATCTCTCACTTTCAATTAATTTTATTTCCAGTAATATCTGGGGAGTCTACTCATTCTGTTACGTTGCACCACTTCACTGTTGATCTTATTCACTTCATTGTTATTCTGTCTGAGGATTTTAGTTTCATCTCTGAAGTGTTGGGTGTTCCATTATGGAGGGAGCATTCTCAGAGATGAATTGGGTGTGGGGGTGCAAAATTCAGATCTAATGGTGCAGAAGCCGATCCGGTTCTCTTGATTTTGTTATTTTAGAAGATTTGGCGGAATGTAGGGGCGATACATGCAGGGACGATTTATGCACCGAACGGGAATAGTGTCGGGCAGTTGGAACTCACGTTTCCCATGATTTTGGGGGGAACGAAAACGCTGGGGCAAAGTTTCCCTCCCAAGAGCTATTAGAGGGGACAATACTTCTACAGAGGCGTGGTATTGACATCCTCTGGTAAACTGCGCGCCTGCAATGCAGGATTGTATTGCTATGATAAATTGAGGTCGGGTCGGTCCTGTTTTTTCCATCGGTTGCCTTGCCTAATTGTCCTCTTCGTTTGCTGAATGTACGTATTTATTGTCGGGGAAAATGTATATTTTTATATCAATTATATTATAAACCATTTTCCGGACATACAAATCCATTAAAAATGCATGAGCAATTTAATGGTAGAGGATAGGAGGGGATGGTTAAGGATGTATTACACCCTTTTCGCCAAAATTCACGTTTTTTAAATTTTTTTGGTAAATTATTGACCGGATTGACGGGAAAAATATATCGTTTTTGCGTTTTATCATTAATTAATGAGTTCCGAATATTCATTTTTTTTTGAAATTTCTCTCACGCAATTTGACAAATTTGATGATTGAAAATGGTCGAATCTCTAGTGTGGTCTGTACTAAACTGTAAAAAATACTTGGATATCCTTAAGGTGAACCGGAATCCCTGTGTCTAAAAGAGTTTTTAGAGTTGTGTTTTCCTCCTGCAATTATTATTTTTTATTTATGAAACTACTTCATTATCTCAACAATGCAATGATCGAGTCGATAAAGTCATTTCATAAATAAAAATTAATAATTGTAGGAGACAACACAATTCTAACAGTTGATATAGATACAGGGGTTCCGTTTCCCCTTAAATCGCTTTACCGCTTCGCTACTGAAGTAGTGTCCGGGCTGTTGCGATAGGGGTTTTTCCACTGGCGTGGTTAGTCAGTCCTCGCTTTCGCCTCGGACGCCAGCTCCGCGCTAGTGGAAAACCCCTTCGCAATAGCCCGGAAATGGACTACTTACGAGAATCTAATTTAATTGAATTCAATTCAACAACATTTAGTCGATTCAATTCAAGGATATTCACTTTGTGCTTTTCACTGCATTTCAATCAGCAAATTTATTGTCAATTAAACTTTGTGTATTCTCTACTTAAATTAAATTTCGCAGAAAAAAAAATTATTTTAATTTACTTCTCACAGACAAATTGAAATTGTTTGAACTTTTGGAAACCCTTCGTTTTGTACGGGATGGATTTCCGCTAAAATTCTAAATGTGATAACACATGTTATGTTCACAGAAAATTATTTTTTAGAGTGGAAAATTAATTATCTATAGATTTTTTTTATTTAATATAAATTTTTTTAATTGGTCCCAAGAGGCAGTCTGCACTTTTTACATTGCTAAATCTTCAAAAATGTTTCCGAAGTCAAAAAATAGAATTATCACGAAATTTTCGGTAATTCAAGACCAAGTGGGACTCAAATGCAAGCTCTGATGTTCTACCTCAAATGTGGAAAATCATTCAAGGCCCGGGTGGAGTACCTTTCGAACGTTATCTCGATTACTTTTCCATCCTCATAATGTAAAGTATATCACATTTCCATTGGATTTTACATCACGCAGGAGTCCCTAAAAATTATGACTTTAATTATGATTATAAAAATTAAGAAATGAGTCCGATAGCGAGGAAATAGTGAATAGATAATTTATCATGGTAACTAATGATCTGACAGCCATTGACTACCGTGACACATGACGACCTAATAGTCATTAGATACATCAAATTAGTAATTTGCAATTTCCTCCCTATTGGGTTTATTTCTCAATATTATTCAAAAACGCTCTTTGAAAATGTTCAGTTTTAAAAAAAAATTTTTTTAATTGTACAATCATAATTTTTGGAGACTCCAGGGCTGTGTAAAATTGGAGATCTTTTCAGATCATCAAAATAAAAAAAAACAACCAAGATCGCGTTCGAAAGATGGTCCGCCCGGGCCTTAATAAAATAGTATATTTCGTCATTAGGCCAAAAAAAACTTTTCTGGCGAATATGAGGTTTGCAGCACGAGCCGAAGGCGAGGGCTGCAATCATATTCGTCAGAAAAGTTTTTTTTGGCCGTATGACGAACAATATTTTTTGTCATGACGGCCGTAGGCAGAGATTCACGGACGCGGAGCGAAGCTGCCTTACGGTCAGAATGACAAAAAAGTATTTGGATATCCCTGAATAAAGTTCGATTAAAATACACGTTTTATTAAAAATGGAATATTACCTACAAAAAATTTCCTCAACATTTTCCTCTAACTCTGCACGTTTCACAGATATTTACAAAATAATCAGTAAAAAAAGCTCAGCTTATCTTCTTCCCGACTTCACTAACCAAAAAACTAATTCTCGTCCAGGATGATCCCTCATTCCACAAGTTGATGAAAACTTCCTATCAAGTTTTTATCTACCTCAAGTCTCCAGTGGATGTGAACGTAATTATCAACGACGAGAAAAGCCAAGAGATTCGGATGTAGTCCATCCCCTTAACTCTCACTTCAAACTCTCCTTTATTCCACTTGACTTAATGCTCCAATGTTGTGCTCAGTACTATGAAAATCTAGGGGAAAAACTTTTATCAAAAAATGAGAAAAGAAAAATTCTATAATCTTCTTTCGATATTTCTGCATATCCTCTTTCTCTCAGTGAATCGTAGGATTAATTTAGATCACTGAGAGATGTAGTTTAATGTAATCTTTAACGTCCTGAATCTTTCAACGAATCTTCTGGCTGAAAATAGATGTTGAAATACTGAAATATTTGAAAATAAACAGTGAATAATAATGAAAGTAATGTCCGATATTTTCGAAAGAACCTGAGATATTTTTTTACGAATGAAATACATTTAAAAAAACTTGAACACTGAGAATAGTAAATAGGGATTTGTTGTAAATAACAGATGATAAGTGATGCCTCTGATGATTAATGAAATATTTATTGAGTGAAAAACTTTCGAAATGTCACATATTACTTTCTCCAAGAGGTCAAAAGATATTCTAATTATACCTAGGCCATTAGTTTAATTCGTAAACTAACGAATGCTTCGTTGATCGAAGCCATTTGGAGCTGTAGAACACTCATGCCAATTAACAATTGTCAGACCAAGATACTAGACTGTTTTTTAATTGATAAAGTGAGATATTTTATTCTTGAACAATACTCATTCAGGTGAAAAAAAAATGATTCTAATTGATTGATTAATGGAATATGGGACCTTGTCGTACTTATCCATCGAAGGAATTTAGAGGTAGTTATTGATTCTTTCGAGATTTTAACGAGGAGTTATTTAGTACCTGTATTTAATCAGCTACTTATATCAATTAAAATGTTAATTAGACTGCTAGGTAATTGTGATAGGAAAATGTGAATGGAATGGGAAGCAAGGTGGAATTCATCGTTTTATAGTTTTTGTCATTGAAGAAATTGTGATCATATGTAAAGATTCATTGTTTGTTTCTAAAAAAGTTAATAATAAGTATAGGACAGTTTCATTGCCTGTTGTATTCTTTTTTCGATGATTTTCAACTTTATGTGAATAGTCAAACATAAGGAATTATTAAATGGAAATAAGTGGAACGAGAGGGCATTTTCATAATAATAAATTATAAATTCTTTTACAAGAATATTTGAAGGGATCTTGCAAATTTCACTATTTTTTTTCTTGACACAAAAATCTGAAAAAAATGTGCAAGAATTCTCAATGATGCAGGATACTCAGAATTTTCTCCCGTGAATTTTCCTATTTTTTTCATTATTTTGACTTTTCAGCTGAAACACCTTAAGGCCCGGGTGGATTACCTTTTAAACGTTATCTCCATTGTTTTTTCATTTCCATAATAAAAATAAAAAAACTATCTGATAATTTTGAACAAAGATTTTTGAACAAACGTTTATAATAAAGTTTAGAAATAAGTCGGATAGAGAGGAAATTGTAAACATAGATCGGCATCGATCATTAATTTAGTACTATTATGGGAAGTTGTACTTTACAATAATTAAGATTTACTTATCTTCATTGAAATTTGAAAACTAATATAATAATTGGTAATTTAAATTTCTCAATTATTGGTTGATGAAATAATTCGAAATTCGAATATGTAAATTGATGGTTAATTTAATAATCAAAAAATTGGTGAGTAATATTAAAAATTGACTTATTCAAAATTTAACTTCAATTAAAAATGATGATTATGTCGATGTCTGCTTGTAAATAAATAATTTATCAAGGCAACTAACGATTTGCAATTTCCTCCCTACTTCGTCAACGTTTTTTCGATTGTACAATCATCATTTTTGGCGACTCCAGAACTACGTAAAACTGAACGGCAATTAGAGAACATTTCAGATTATCAAAATAAAAAAAACAACCGAGATCACGTTCGAAAGTGTCAAAGTGATTGAAAAAATCAATTATTATCGAATTGATTAGATATTCATCGAGATATAATCTTCTCTTCCAACTATTTTCATTTAAAAATTGATAATCTCATTAATTTATTCAATTTTCTACTCACTCCTTGTTTAAAACTACTGTTTCCTAAAGACGTGCCACTCGAATAAACGAAACCCTGA